TAATAAAATAAACAAAATTAAACATTTCAATGATTTATAATTTTTATTCGATATAAGTATTAATAATCAATAATGAAGAAAAAAGTATCATAATTATATTTTGAAAAATATCATTACACCAATAATAAAAATATGATTCAAAATTAAAAAAATAAATTAAAAACGCCCGGGCTTACGCCTAGGACTTGCGTTTATATTCAGGGCTTATGCCTTGTGAATCTACGTTTTTAATTTTACGTTTCAGAACGTTTTTGGTACATCCCGCCTGAGACTCGCCCCAAAAACGTTTTTGAAAACATTGCGTAGTGTTTTAAAAGGCGGGGGCGTGAGGCGATGCATTTTATACGGTACCAGATGAGGCGTAAGTCCCGAGACACGGAGCGTGAGTCCCATGGATCTATAGGACGTAGTTCCATGTATATTCAATATTATAATTTCATTATTAATGAAATAAACAAAAATAAACATTTCAATGATTTTACATATAAAGAGTTATAAATAACCTATAATATACATAAACATACTATGATTTTTATTTTAGATAAATATTAATAATCAATAACAAAAGAAGTATAATAATTACTGTTTGAGAAATATCATTACACCAATAATAGAAAATATGACTTAAAACCAAAAAAAAATAAAAAAATTAAAAATGCCCTAACCTACATTTCTACGCCTAGGACTTACATTTTTATGCTCGATGCTTACGCCTCAAATTTTAAAACTTACGCCTCATGAGTCTATGCCCCAGAGTGTTTTTTGTACGCCTCGCCTCGAAGCTCGCCCCAAAAATATTTTTTGAAAACAGTGGTTGTTAGTTTTAAGGGTAGAAATAGATCAAATATGAGGATTGAAAGGTACTTCTAACTCAATAGGTGGGTGAGAAATACTTTTAAACATTTTCAAATAATCTAAGGATATTTTTATGCCTTTTTTGGATTTTTTTTCTTAGGACATACTTGTCATGTGGATTCCATTAAGCTTTATAAAGATATGTAAGACACTATTTTAGGATTTCATTTTCTAGTATCATGGCCAAAATGAGCTCCTACCTTGATCATCTCTTTCAAATTTATTTCAGTATGTTCTTCACATTTTTTCTGTAAACCCTGCCCTTTGTCAATTCTTTTCAAAAAAGAAAAAAAAAAGAGATCTTGAACTCAAATGAATAACTTGTTTCGATTTTTCTTCATGATAAACCATAGTCAATTTGTAGAGTATATACCTCAACCCTTGTAATTATTGACCATTTCTTTCTTTCTAATAGAATGGATTGAACAAGATAAGATAGTCATATTATAGTCTTAACTTCAGTTGCAGTAAACTTAAATAGTGTTTTATTTATCTTTTCTACTACAAGGGTTAATTTTAAGGGTTTTACTTAGTATCATCTTCATATCGTTGTTGCATAGATTTATTTCGTTGCTTTTTTCCCCCCACATGTTGCCATATAGGATTGTTAAAAAAAAAAAAGGATGGTTTGGTTTGGTTTCACATTTTGTCAAACCAAAAATCAAACCGAAATTTGGAAAATCGAACGGAATCGATCGAACGCCTAGCCCTAACTATCATTATATTTTAATATTTCTCTTTTTTATTCCTCTTTCATTATATTTTAATATTTTCCTTTTTAATTCCTCTTTCATTACATTTTACTTATATTTTCCTTTTTAATTTCTCTTTCATTACATTTTAATATTTTTTTTAAATGATACTAAAAAATAAATTTAAAATAATACAAATTCGATTACCTCTCGAAATTTCGTGTAACTGTATGATGGGGAACATATATTATTTTAAAAAATATATTAAAAATTTCATAAACCACAATAATTAACAACTTACATTATTTGAAAAACATATTAATTTTAAAAGTATTATAATCATAATAATTAATACAGTAATTCAAAATAATTAAAATAACTTTAAAAGTATTATAAATCATAATAAATAATACAGTAATCCAAAATAATTAAAATTTAACTTGAAAATAAATTTAAAAGTATTATAAATCATAATATATAGTACAATAATTTAAATTACTTAAAAAGTATTATGAAATTATAATAAATAATACAACAATTTAAATTACTTAAAATTTAACGACTTAAATATATTTTTAAAAATATATTAATATTTTGGTTGGCTACCAAAATTTCACATGTGTCACATAAATTAGGATATAAGGAGTCACACATATTCTTTTTAACTTACATTAAAGTTTAATTAACTTTGTTAAGTTCATATATATCAAAATTAAATCAAATAAAATAACATATATTGAATCAGGTACAACTAGTATAACCATAATTGCAAATCAATTTTGGATTATTTACCTAATGAAATGAAGAAAATTACTTAATATCAAATAATTACACAATAATCGACTTTTATATGGTTAGTTCACTCACCTTATGCCTCATTTGTTGTAGCATGTGTGACGCCCATTCACTCAACACCTATGGACCATGATGACTTGACATCATTTTTACTTTTCTCTCATTATTAATTTGAAAAATTGTTATCAAAACATGCAAAAATTAATAATTTTATCAAAAACATTCCTCAAGCAAATAATGCATTTATGGATATTTAAACTCAGAATATGAAGGAAACACAAAATATTTAATAGAAAAGAAATGAAATCCTTTTAAATAATTTTCAACTTGATATATATTTTTTGTTTATCTTCATAAAGAAGAGATTTGGATTTTTCAAAGAAAATGTGATCACAACCTAAAAAATGATTTACCCCTACATGTTTAATCGATCAATTGCTTGTCTCAAAAGAATTATGGACCGATCCATATTTTAGGCATAGTCGTAGCTTATTTCAAAGTATTTGTAACATTCTTTTTATGAGTCCGGAGCCTAAAGGGTATAAAATATTAATAAAAATTTCAAAACGGTATATGAATATTTATTTTAATCAAAAGGGCAAAATCGCTGGAAGGGCAGCGATTTCGCTTGCCGGAAAAAGTAAAATTTCCAAAACAAATTTTTGTTAATAATTTTTTAATAAATCGCTGCCTAATCAACGATTTCTTAAATATTTTATTTTTAAAAAAATAAACTAAGAGAAAATCGCTGCAAGGGCAGCGATATGTCTCCAAATTGTTTTTTTTATTTTTTTCAATCAAATTTTAAAATTAAATTTTAAATTTTTTAAAGAAATTTTAATTTTAAATTTTTCTACTACTTATTCCAAAATAATATTTTTAATGATTTTTTAAAATTAGTACCAATCAAAATTTTTCTAAAAAATTGATTTAAAAAAATATAAAAATTTTTATTTTTTTTATTAATTTCAAACAAAAAATTATATACCCTTTAGACTCCAAACTTCTTTTTATCTATACTTGTTTGTTCTTTTTTTTTTTAATATTCTCTTTTTAACTTATTTCAATGGATCTAATATCTTTTATAAAAAATCGGAGAAATATCGGTGATCTTTTCTTGGAACCAAATGTAGTAATTATTCCTTTTCTAGTGAATGGATCATAATCACCACCTAACAACTACCTACATTCTAGAAAAAATTGCACCACAAATAAGAGAAAATTAAGAGACTTGCAATTTCGTAGAAAGACATCACACCTCATTGTGAAAAAGATAATTTATTGAGGCAGAAAAAAAAATGTTAAATTCTTAGGGTCAATTAAATTTGTTTCAAATTTAACATAATCTTTTATTTTTGTCATGCTATTCTAGTATATGCATAAAAATATATTGAAATATGAATAGAATCTTTTGCTTACGATTAAATTTATAGATCAATCTACGGTATCATCAAGGATAATTTGGATTGATCACAACAAATAAAATATAGCGAATAAATGAAATTACATGTTATATCCCATAAAATGAAATTGATATTTTTATATATCAAAATAATATTATAGATTGATCTATATATTCAAATCAAATGCAACCTTTTATGTTTATTTTATTCAAGGAGGGAACTTTATAACTATAATAATTTCTAAATAGTATGGCAGAGAGAAATAAATGGATCTTTTTACCATACTGTCTATTTATTATAACATTATCGATTTCAGTCCACTTATTTAATTTGAAATATGAAATTGGGATTGTTTTTATTTTATTTCATGTACAAATTTGATATAATTAATGTGTCTTCTACTTATTTCTTTTTTAGAAAATATGATATAAATTATTCAAGATATATATATCAGGAACAACGTACTAATTAATAAATTTCTTTTAAATACCACATGTATTACTTTTAAGCACGATATACAATGTATATGTTTGGCTCAAACGTCCGCTAAAAGCTTTTTAGAATTAAAATATATATTAAATACATCAAATATGTTATTATTATTATTGTTATTATTGTTATAAAAACTAGTATTTTAATAGTTTAATTATATATGTATAACAACTAAAAATTAAACCACTTTATATGCTCAAATTAATATATCACCTATTATAAAGATGTGTAATGTTATTTTCACATTGCATTGTTACGTGACTTTCTATAGCTAAAATTGCTGGTAATTAAATATACCCTCGATCATCTTCCATTTGTCACATGATATAACGAGCAGTCTCAATTTCTTATAAGGGTATGAGACAATTTAACTATAATTTAGAAGTGTATTTCACTTATGTTGCAAAATTAAGAGTATATATAAGTTCAGTCAGTCAAATAAAGAAGTGTTTTTAAGACTATTAATAGTGTTGGGATGAAACTAATAATTCACAACTAATTTAATACCTCTATGTTATTGTTTATTTTATTTTTTAATTTTATAAATAGACTAAAGAAAGTTATTTACCTAGACCAAGTTTGAGGAAACAAATTAATAACTATTTTAAACAATTAAGAAATCAGTTTAGATTCTTAAACGTGTCATTAAGTTGCGTAATTTTCTAAAATCTTTTTTCTAATTTTACTCCCAAACCATACACTTGCCATTTTACTAGCTAGACCAAAAAACTCTCCTTTAATATATAAACAAAATAATAACAACACAAACACACAAAAAAAGACTTTTGCATCACTCTCTCTCTCTCACTCACTATCAAACAAGAATAATAGAAGCCACTTATTCTTAATAACAAAATAATACTTCCCTTTAATAAACAAAATAAAAAGCATGTTATGTAGTGGGGTTTTAGATTTTTCATAATATATATGTACATATAATGAAAGCTTCTTACCTTTTGTTTGAAAATCATTCTTAGGGTTCTTCATGACATGAGGGATCCTTGAGAGTTATTTTTTTCTTTTTATATTTTGGAGTGATGCATGTTTTTTTGGCTTGATTTTTGGATTTCCCTTTCATTTGGGTTTTTTAAAGAGAAAAAAATTAAAGTTAGCTATGAATTTCGTCGCTTAATTATGTATAGCTAATATAATATTTTCGTTATTTTTAAGTAAGATTATTGACATATTTTATTATTTTAGGTACTAAATTTTATTTTCGTTATTGCTAAGTAGGATTATTGACATATTTTATTATTTTAGGTACTAAATTTATGTGTCGCTAATTTTTTTTTCGATAGTGTTTCAAATAAAGGTACTTTTTTTTTTCCTTTTTTAATTTATTATTATGGAGGGGAATTATGGAGAGGCTATTGAGTGGGATTGCCAATTATTTGATGAAAATGTTTTTAATAAAAGTTTCCCCAAGCCTAGCATTGCCCAACGCCGGGAAGAAAAATGTGGTTTCAATGCTTCCGGCATGAGTACTCCGGCGATGTCGCCACCACCGGATAGGCAAACTTTTCTTACTATACCACCGGGACTAGCTCCGACAGCATTGCTTGACTCTCCGGTTATGCTTTCGAATCCACAGGTATTTTATAAACATTTGTATGATTATAAATCATTTCAATACTTTTTTAACGAAAAGATAGTGTCATATCATAAGTTAGAACGGAGGGAGTAGTAATTTACTCTCTTCCAATATTTTTCTTTTTTGATTATTATTTTTGAATGTGAATGTTGTCATGATTTTGTGATATTGTTGTTACATATATGTTAAAAAGGATGAATATATTTTGAACTATTGTAAATGGTGTGCAGATATCCTTCGTCATATTTTTGGGACACTGATGCCTTTGCCGTTAAAAAACTAAAGCATATATACCCTTTATTCTAATGGATATACACATGTCATAATCTTATCCACTGATTTGATATTTATCAAGTGTCGGACAGGCGAATAAGATTGTGCTGTGTGTTTCTATTTAGTGTTTCGTCAGAGTGGAGGGCATATACGCTTTAGTTTGTGGACGACAGAAACACCAATATTTCAAAAGTATACGCTTTAGTTTGTGGACGACAGAGACACCAATATTTCAAAAGTATAACGGAGGATATTAATATACTATATATAATAGTTCGAGGGGTATATTTATCTATTTTCCCAAATATATTATCCAAAGAGGTGCATGTTATGTGATGAGGGATGCAAAGAAGAGTGGGGTTAAGGTGACATCAGAGAGAACCCAAGATTTGAAGGTTTTGGGTGTACCAATATAAACATAGCTCAAATATAACTAAACCAAACTTAAAATAAAAACATGCTTAAGTGGGATTCGAACCCTGATCTAGAAGGTGGTTTATCTATCTTCTACTAATTGCACAAAGGCAATTCTATGTTAACTATATCTTAATTTCTACCATTTCTTCAAAATAGATATACATATGGTTTTTCAGAAGTTATTGGGTGCATGTGCACCCCCATCGTATAGTGTGGGTCCGCCCCATGGGTGGCATCAATGAGGAGTGTGATAAGGCTAAAATTGGAAATGAAGTCAAGTATGTTTCGATAAATGAGATGATTAACCCCAAATCAAGTTTTACTATCTTTTTCATTGATATGCTCCCCTTTCCTCCGATTATGCCTGTGGTCTTGTTGGCCTCTCAACTAGTTGTCAACAAAGGGAGGCCGATTTGGAGTATTGGGGAGATGGTTGATGAGAGATAAGTATACTTGATTATTATTGGATTTTTAATTGTGGTGTTTAAATGTAAAAGAATTAATCAATTCTATTTTTAAGAAATATGTGTATTTGACTGAATCTTTAGTTTAAAAATGGTGTAAAATATTAAAAATGATAATATATCCAATTTTTTAAAAATGGAGGTAAAATCTGTAGTGATATGCCTAGTTAGGTAGTTTTTCCATTTAGCATGGATCTAAAATTTAAATTAAAAAAACTCCTAATACAAGCACTAATTTGAAGTATCTTCGCATTTTAAATTTGTGCATCATTTTCTCAAAACTTTGTGAATAGATCAACCATATAATCACTGCGTTGCTTCCCAATATACATGTAAGTTTATGTGGTCGCGCAAGTAATATGGTGGCTCCTAAAAGAACCGATTATCGATCCTAACGGACTTGTCAATTAACTATTTTTACTAAATAATACTGGTCTAATTATTTATCTAAGAGTGTCAAAAGAAAAGAAGTATGCAGGAATAAAATAATAAATTTGGAAAATCCTAGGACTGCAACGTGTATTGAATCTCATGCATCATATTATTGGCTTAGAACTAATCTTAGTTGTCAAATTACTGGTTTATAGGATTGATCCGGGTTATACGCCTCTCGTCGCCTACCACAGTTAGCTATCTAACTACATAGTTGAGCGGGAATAAATAGATTAGCTAACGAGCATTTATATTTCATCCTATTTCGTAACCAAGCAAGGTGTTCGTCTGTGCGTCACTCTTGAACACTAATCTCCTCAATCTAATGGCTGTCCGAGCTCTCTATATTCTTCGGTCTATCTAATCTCTCCTCGGATCGATTTTAAGATTAGACACTAGCTCTTTTTTATGGTGCACAAACATAAAATAGTAAAACAAGAATATAAAAGTAATTTGAATTGACAACCAAGAATTAATTCAAAAAACCTTAAATTATCAAAATTGAATTCATAGCTATAGCCCAGAACAAGGGTTTTATACTTATGTCTAAGAAAAGAAGAAGAAGAAAAGAACCCTAAAAAGTGTTGACGACTTTTCTCTTGATGACCTATATTTTTCTCCTCCTATAGATTGATTCCCCCTTAACTAATTTATTTTTATGGACTATTTATAGATATAAAAGATCCTAAATAAAATAACTGAGTCCAAGATATATTGAAAAACCAAAACCTAAACAGAACGAAATTGTTGAACACGTTAAACTCTGTCCGTCGCCTTCAAGAATCTGTACGCAACTCCTTATTTGACACGTGACATGTTTATTCCTTTCAAACTCATTGGTGACCCCTAAACTTGGCACCAATTTTCGCTTAGACACTTCAATTATGTGATGTTCATTTTAGACACCTTATGTAGGGTTCTATTGTATCATTTTGACATTTTTCTATCAAAAAAAAATTTAAAGGAGAGTGTAGTACACTCGTTGATGACGTGACAAACAATTAAATAATTACATGTGTTATTTTCAGTTAAAAATGATTATAAAATCTATTTAGTAAATGAGCTTAAAATATTATTATTAGAATATCTCTTATTTCATTACACTCAAAATCTCTTTTGTGATTTTTCAAAAAAAAAAGATTCTCTTCTTTTACTATTTTTCATATTTATTCATCTTCTTTCTTTTTAGTATTGTTTTTTGGAAAGAAAAGAGGAAGAGGAAGGAAGAAGGAGAGAATAAATATGAAATATGGGTGTTGGTATCCGTTATTCTAGCAAAAAATGGAGGGAGGTGATGGTAAATTTAGATAAGAAGAAGAAGAAGAAGAAGAAAAAGAAGAAGAAGAAAATGACTTAAAAACGAATTTAAATAAAAAATTTGGCCTCCATTAAAGCAATTTAAACTTGAAAAAAAGTAGGGGGTGGTGGCTTGAAAAATGGAGAAGAAGAAGAGAAAATAAAATTAAAAATGGCTAAATTAAGCTTTTTACGCTCTATTGTTGAGTGTATCACACTCACTTTGACATGTCAGTAAAAAGTGTCAAAATGATACAACAGAACCCTACATGAGGTGTATAAAATGAACATCGCCTAATTGAGGTGTCTAAGTGAAAATTGGTGTCAAATTTAGGGGGTAACCGATGAGTTTGTCCATTTATACATTATTATATTAAATTTAATCTATTAAGCTGTCTACTTGATTTCCTTCTTCAACTTTTCATCTTTAATTTGTTTAGCTCCATACATTTTCAACCTTTCACCAATTTAATCCTAAATAAAATACACTATTTAGCACAATCTATAAAATTCATGCTTAAAAAGGATAAATATAAATAATAAATATGAGGTAAATAATGATTAAAAATATGTTTTTTTGCCCACACATCAATCACTTGAACTAGTCTATTGCACATTGATGTCATTATTCTTTGGAGATTATGTGTGTAGAAAAGTTGTGACAAAATGTACTTTGTTTTTATCTCCTTTAATGATTCCTCCCTTTAGGATCATATAATTCTGTAAATTCCTCACTTCAGTTTTTTTAAGCAAATAATTTATTATTTTAAAATACTCTTTATGTTACGATTCAAATCCTTGTGATAGATATCTACACTAACCTTTCTGTGCGAGAACCATTACTACAACTCAAACTAACAAATTTTATGAAAACTAAGGCATTTCAAGATACAAAAGCAGGTTTAAATGACAATAAAAATACAGAATTTTCATAAACTCCAAAATCTTAAACAAATAACTAACCAAGCTAATGCAGAAGAACAACCCCTAGAACCTGAAAGTCATGATACCAAAACTCTATTAACGACAAGTCTAAGAGTGAGGGGTACAACCCCAAAACTAAATAACACCTTAAGTAATTAGTCTGAGTCCGAAAAGAGTGGACTTAAACAAGAAAGATCCATGGCAACCTGAAAGAACTGACTCACCCTTGAACCCGGCCACACTCAATAGTTACCTAGTTGAAGTCTATCAATACCCACCTGAAGATGTAATGCCCTCAACAAAGAAAGAGCAAGTGCAATATCAGTACACAACCACAGTGTACTGGTAGAATCACACGACTATCCCACTAAGTGCAACATACATAAGTGAATACAACATAATAATAACATCCATACACCGAATATATACAATATCATCATCACTTACGAACAACGAACAATTTCACATTTATCAAGTTATACACTTTTGTCAAATCAATGGTCCTCTCATGGAACCCAAGCCTCAACTGTTAGCATATCGAAATGTGGTACCCAATTCAATATTTATGCCAGAACGCGGCAACCGATCCAATGTTATGCTGAAACGTGGCAACCGATCCCATGTTTATGCCGGCACGTGACAACCGATCTAAGTTAGTGTATCGGAACGCAATACCCGATCCATTTAATAAGCTACAATTACAATCACATGTATATTCTAAAGATCATACTCTTAAGTCATGATTTATGACATTCATCATTCATTTATCTCATTTACAACTTGTGTGATCAATAATACAATATTCACATACAAACACGTATTATAATGAAGCAAAAACAAACATATATCACACAATCATCACCTACCTAAAATTCAAGCTTGAATCTCTTAATACACTTTAATCTTCCCTTTTCAAATTCTTTCCGCTTGTTCAGGGTCTACAAATAATCATAATAACACGGGAATCAATAAACAATAACCCGAGTTACCAACAATCTGATGAACCCTAGATCAACCCATGATCCCAATTAGGCTGGTTTCCACCATAAATTTTAGATCAAAACTCTCCCCCCATAGATAATTACCTATTAGATTACGTTCTATGAATCGAAAAAATGAATTCGGGGAGTTAAAATATTACCTGGCCTAAAAAATAGTGAACGTGTCAAGAAAAGATCTGGGTTCGTTCTTTATCAGTCAAATTTGAAAATTACAAAATGAAACGTTTGTAGAATTTATTTACGACTTTAAATCGCGTCTGGTCTACCACAACGACCATCACCCCACTACATCGGCCCCGCCCTGACGACCAAGATCACCGCCAAAGCGGGTTGCACAAAACAATAAGCTATTTTAATAATTCTAATATCCCCCATTTCACAACACATCTTCAACGAACGACACTCGAGAACTACCCGTCACACTAAGATCAATTTCGAGAGTTCTACTCACGCGAATTTAATTTTGTAAAGTTGCGAAAGTTTCTTAACGACTTATCTATCTACTCATGTAATAAAAATCATAATTAAATCACCCGATTATTACTAGATTTTTCTACACCTTAATAACTCCAATTTCATTCAAATCTAAACTAAATAAATAAATTTAGAAGATAGTTAAGTAAGCAGGGTTCTGTTTTAAGCTATTTTTAAGGATTATAGTTATACAATAGAATAACAACTCATCTTAATAATAACAACTCATCATGGATAGTAATGGAGTTACAAGTTACAACTACTTAGTTACTTTCAACTCCAAGGCTTAAACTTTTATTATTTGCAACTAATTAATTAATCCTTGTTGTTTTTTTGTTAATTAGGCACCACAATCTCCTACTACTGGAAGCTTTCAACAGTTCCCCAACTCGATGTCCAGTACTCCTCCTCATGTGGTCATCAATGCTAATTGTCCAATCAAGACTAATAATGTCATTGATCATCATCTTCATCCCCTCTTATTTCCATCTTCATCAAACACTCAATCTCAGGTAATTTTATTTACTTCCTCCGTTCATTATTATTTGTCCATTATACCATTTTAGAATGTCCAATAATATTTGTACCGTTTATAAAATGAATATGTCATTTATCATTTCGTGACTATGTTACCCTTAGCTTACTATTAAATATAATTAATTTTAAATATTTAGATGAATTATATTTAATAAGAGTGATTTGATAACACTATTATTTTCTTAATCACTATTTTATGTCAACAATAAACGATTATTGTTTAACAAAAATAGTATCGATTGATTAGTTTGTCATTTTATTTAATTACACAACATAATTATACCAACCACAGGATAAGTTCTACTTTCAATTGACATTGTTTCTTAATGGTTCCATGACTCTATATAACTGTTCTATTGCATATGGGGGTGGGGGCTAGGCTAATAAAACATCTATGCAATATCTATTTTATTTTGATATTTTTAATCATCCATCTATATAATATCTTATTGTTTCTTTTTATTTATAGGTTTTTATTTAAGTTTATTATAAATAGAATAATTCTTGTATGAATTTGTCACAAAATTTAATGCTACTATTTTTTATAGTCTAAATACATATGTGTCCCCTTTAACATGCTCCGTAATTTTATTTTGACACTCTATGTGGACTTTGTTCTATTTTAAAGTCTTCAATCCCATTAAATGTATCATTTAAACATAAATACTAGTGTTTATGATTTTTATTTGTGTTATTATACTGCAATTTTGTATTTTAAGATCCATTAATTTGGGTTAAAAATAAAATAAAAAGTGAAGGATGTGTTAGGATCGAAATAAGCAGGTGTAACGCGAAAGTTAGCAAAGTAAATCTCGAATGACCACGAGTAAGAAGACAAACGAGAAATATACCAAAACCCCCCGAGATTTAACGTGGTTCGATCAATCGACCTACGTCCACAAAGGAGATAAGCAATCCACTATAAATATAAGAGTACAAAATACAGAGAGAAACAACCTCAACTAATTCACTCGGAATACATGGGAGGTTCACAGAAGTGAAAACATATCAAGCTTGTGATCTGTAAATTCTCCCCTAACCAAAACTCTCAAAGCCCTTAAAACTACATTGTGAATGCTGATTATGATAGAAGGAACATACCTCTATTAATATAGTCCTAAACCTTTTTCCTACAAGAAAAACGACTAGTCAATCCAAAACTTTTTCCTAAAAAAAACCTATTTATGGTAAGAAATCAGGACAAATAAAATCCAACATATCTCTTCTTTGACCTGAAATTCTGACAAAATAAATTTGTCCACCTTCTTCACATAATCTTCAATAACTTGCTTCTCCTCTCCATAATTTTCTTTGCAAAATTTATGTCTCAACACAGAGAACCTCTCTGAAACGATTTCTCCAAAAAAAAAAATCTTCATTACTGTCAAAAAAGTTGCGGCTAGAAGTACACTTGCCACGATGAACACATCTTTCTAACCTGGTTCAATCATCGATTATCGAACCATTGTACCTGACTCCATCGTTGAATCTTGCTCTGATACCACTTGTTAGGACCGAAATAAGCAGGTGTAACGCGGAAGCTAGCAAAGCGAACCTCGAAAGACCACGAGTAAGAAGACAAACGAGCAATATACCCGAAAACGTAGAAAGTTAACGTGGTTCGATCAATCGACCTACACTCACAAAGGAGATGAGAAATCCACTGTATAAACATGAGAGTACAAAATACAGAATGAAACAAACTCAATCAATTCACTCGAAATACATGGGAGATTCACATTAGTGATAACATATCAAGCTTGTGATCTTCAAATTCTCCCCCTAACCAAAACTCTCAAAGCATTTAAGACTACATTGTGAATGCTGATCAAGTTAGAATGAACATGCTTGTATTTATAGAGTCCTAACAAGAAAAAAAGACTAACTAATCCAAAATATTTTTCTAAAAGAAAAATCTATTTATGATAAGAAATTAGAGCAAATAAAATCTAACAGAATGAATACTATTTTTTTTTAAAAGTAATAACTTCTTTTAAGAGTTTCTCTCTATTTTTTATTGAAAAATAACCAAAGAAAGTGCATTCTTAAAAAAAACTCATTGACAAACCCAATAAAGGCTGAGAAGTTTTAACATTTTTTGATGGTATTATTAGCAATGAATAAGTCTTTTTATCCATATTAAAGATGAGTTCTTTTTATCCCAACGGAATTGCATACAAATTTAAAAAATGAGTATTTGAGTTAAACCCTGGTAATCTGGATGATATGAAAAAATAAAATATGTTATGTTATTTAAATGTTTATAGATTGATCTTGAAAAAATGTTATTTAAACATTCAATTTTGTCTATATATTTGACCTTTTTATAAATGTTATTTTGAAATTACATGTATTAGTTATGTATACATGTATTGTACATGAATTTTTATTTTTAAACTCTCTTTTAGTTTTGTTTCATTTTCACCTTATAATTCTTTTTTTTTTTGGGATAAGGGTTTGAAAAATATCTCAATTTTGATCGAATTTGTTGTTGCGATATTAAATTTTCATTGGAAACTATTACCTCCTGAATTATTTAATAGTGTATTTTTTATCATCTGAATTTTTTAATAGTATATTTTAAAGGTATATATGTATCTATGTGGACACTTTACTATTTACAATTTTCTCATTATTTTTTATGTCCACATGGGCAAACATACAAGTTTAAAATACGGCATTAAATAATCTAGGGAGGTAATAAGTTCTCATGAATGTTTAGTATCGCAATAACAAATTCGACAAAAATTGAAGTATTTTACCTTTATCATTCAAATAGAAAATATTAATTTTATGATTTTTTTATTATATTCTTTAATTTTAATTTTTCCATTTTAAAAATCGATGTTTCTTTGTTAGTTTTTGTCAAAAAAAAAAAAAAACGGCTGAACATTAGTTTCTTAAAAAATAATATTATTTTGAGAGTTGCTTTATATTTCTGCGTAAATTATAATCGACGAATGTGTGTCCCTTTTATTTTTTAAATAATCAATTAAATTAGATAATATCACTTTTTTTTTCATATCCAAGCTATCTAAATTTAACTCAAATACTAGCTTTCTAATTTTTAATTTAACTCAATAAGGGTAAAAAGTACCTTTTTCAATATGAGTAAAAAAATAAACTCTGGTCATTGATCATAACACTACTATAAAGATGTTAAAACTCATAGACTTTATTAGTTTGTCATTGATTTTTTAAAGAAAAACTTTGTTGGATTGTCATTAATTTTTCACATAAAAACATAGATTAATTCGAAAAAAGAAATTGTTATATTTTAAAAGATCAATATTCGTCCGTAGACTTTTAAAATGCAAAATAGTAGTTGAATAACATAATTAAAATTAAAGAAATCATAAAATAATTATTTTGTGTTTAAATGGTACATCAAAAATAAAGTTGGAAATTAAAATGAAATAAGGTTAAGATAAACCGTGAAAATAAAATATAGGACAAAGTAAAGAAATTGCGTATTGTTTGGCCTTATTTAAGTTTAAATTTGCTATTGTTTATACTGATAAATGAGTTTTAATTGTCATTAAGTTAATTATCCTTATATTACATTTGTTGAAATAATTAAAGTATTATTACAAAGTAGTAAAAATATATAGATAATAGAATTTTGATTATTAGTAGTATTCACTTTTTAATTCTCATTTATTTATTTAGAACGCCCTTAGCTTATATAGTTAATTAGTAATTCTCATTTTTCTTTTCTTTTTCGTCTCGAATAATTTTTTATAAAACATTTATTATATAGATTAAAAACTAAAATATTAGCATAATTTAGAGAAATTAAAAAAAAGAAAAGGAAAAAACTCAAATATGCCATCGAACTTAAAGAAAAGGCTCATTTATGTTATTCGTTAAAAGTTTATCTTATCTATGTCATTACTGTTTAAGAAAAAACTTATTTATGCCATTATTTTTTAATAGTGCTAACGCAAAAATATTTTTGACACGTGATCAATTGTAATTGGGTCACGTCGTTAATTTTTTTAATGAAAAAAATTAAAATTCTAAACAAAATTGAGTTAAAATAACCCAGCCAAATAAAATTAGGGATATTTTAAAATTTGGATGAGTATTTACTTGGGTGGGTTATTTAATTCAATTTTGTTCAGAATTTTTCTTTTTTCTTTTTTATCATAAAAATTAATAACGTGATCAAATTATAGTTGATCACGTGTCAAAAATGATTTTGTAAAATCATTGTTAAAAATAATGGCATAAATGAATATTTTCTTAAACGATTATGATTTAGATGAGCCAATCTTTTAACGAATTAATAAATAAAACTTTTTTGAAAAATTCATTGACATATTTGAGTCTTTTTATATATAAAAAAAAGATTGGCATTTAGAAATGACAGAGAGGATAAATGTTGGGGGCCGGGGGAATTTATTGTTCTAAGTTGGGATGGAGGCTTAATTTTTAGAACAAAGTTAACGTGTGTAAATAATTTTCAATATTTTCAAATAAAGAACTTATGATGTTATTTGGTCAAATACAAAAATAGATTTCTAAATTAGTTGAAGTTTTCCCCTCAGGTGTTTTAACTATGTTATTTTCATATTGAATTATTAAACCATCCATAATTTGTTTCTTTTAAATACAGTTGGCTGATGTGGAACCAAATTTTGTGAAGGATATTGATATATGATACATATGTTGTTCCTGAACTCATTAATCCAATTGATAGTGAAACTATTCATGAATAATTGTGTTTTATTTTAAGTCATTTGAAAATATTAGAAAACAAATTAGACTAACACACACTTTGTCTTCATTCCTTCAATCAAAATCATTACAACACGAACACAATTGAAGACATTTACAACAGAACAACTTATCAAAATCAGCCAACAATGTTTAAAAGGAACAAATTCTAGGTGTTTCAATAGAAAAATGACATAGTTGAGGTGCCTGAAGGGAAAAAATCCAATAAATTTAGAGATCTCCTTATGAGTTCGACTATGTTGTTTTTACTTAATTAAAAAGTATTGATGTTTCTAGAAAGAAAAAGAGTACAAAATATTTATTAAAAATAAAAGGAAGAAAGATTGTCTTCTTTTTATCCATAGAAATATTTTATTACTTGAATTAAATTAATTAAATCCTCACATTGGTAAATAAGGTTTTTTATGATAAGATCCAAAATAATGTATTGCAAACATATATCGTTCTTTAGCTTGAATTAACTCTTACTAATATAAATATTTATATCACTATGCGATGTTTGTTTTGAACTTAAAAGCTTTATGGTTTCTAAATATAATATTTCAGAAATAATAAGTAACACAAAAGGGAAATATGATGATAATTTTTGCACCTAAGTATATATACAAATAATTTAAAAAAAAACAATTTTTTTTTAAAAAAATTGTGGTGCTAAATAATTTTTTTTTGTAACTTTTAGTGAATGTCATTAATGATTAAAAAATGTTAAGTGTAAAGTTAAATCTTCGACTATTTATTGAAGTTTGTCATTTTTTCTTGAAATGAACTAATAAAAGAATAGTGTCCTATAAACTAAAGTGAAAAAAGAAATGTAGCTATTTGAAAATATAACACAAATAGTTTGTTGTAGTGATACCTATTTATATTAATAATGTCAAAAATAATACAAACATTTTTTTTCTAATGCAGATTACATCGAGATATCATGAATTAGGTACCTTCAGTTCAGATATAAAGCATGAAGAAAACATGAGTGGAATAATTAACTTCACAAATACTAGTAAGCAAGAAAATTGCCATCGTGCAATGAATCCAAATATTAGTAATTCAATCGGACCAGATGATGGATATTCTTGGAGAAAATATGGTCAAAAAACCGTCAAAGGTAGTGAATTTCCTAGAAGCTACTATAAATGTACTGGACAAAATTGCTCTGTGAAAAAAAAAGTAGAACGTTCACAAAATGGAGAGATCACAAAAATTATTTACAATGGTGAACATAATCATCAGAAATCTCAACCTATTCGACGTGCAATAACAAGTTCCAAGTCCTATGATTTACCAGAAGAAAAGAATGGTGGCTCAAATATGCAATTTGAAGACAATAAGAATGTTAGCGCTCTTTCATTAATATTAAATCATGCAAACATTAATATGAATCTATTTGAAACTACTCGTGAGTCTTGTTCGCCACTTGTGAGTTGTGAGGATGAAGATGAAGATGAAGATGAAGATGAGGTTAGAGCCATAGAAGGGATCATTTCCGTCGATGATAATGAATTTGAGCAAAGGAGGTACTTTTTTTTTATCCATCACTTGATAATGTCTTATTTAAGTTATTAATTCATATTTTATCTATAGTTATCATTTAGGAAATGTCAATATATAGTTATTAAGTGCTTGAATTTTTATACATTGTCTGAAAACCACTTGTAAGTTTCTATATCTACACTTAGTGATAGAAACTCTACTAGATCAAAGCGCTTTTGAAGAGGCCTATAGCATGACTATTATACAATTTTCATATTAAATTTTGATCCATTTATATTTTTTAATTTATGTTAACCTTTAGTTTGTCGTAAAATTGATGCTTTGTTTTAGGAGAAGAGACTATTGTATGATTACTATACTATTTTCAAATTAAATTTTAATTCATTTATATTTTTAATTTATGTTAACTTTTTAGTTTGTCGTGAAAATGATGCTTTGCTTTAGGAGAAGAGACTATTGTTATCCCGCTGAAATGAATTTATCGTCGAGAACAACAAAAGAACCAAGAGTGATCGTTCAAATAGAGAGTGAGATTGATATTCTTGATGATGGTTATCGCTGGAGAAAATATGGCCAAAAAGTTGTGAAAGGCAACCCGAATCCAAGGTATCTATTTTAATACCTACATAATAATTATGCTTTGTTTTGTTATATTATCAATATATAACTTAATTTATTTTTTATATTATGTTGTATAGGAGCTATTACAAATGTACAAGTCCAAGTTGTCCAGTAAGAAAACAGATCGAAAGGGCACCCGATGACATTAAATCAGTCATCACAACATATGAAGGAAAACATAATCATGAAGTTCCTTCAATAAACAAGACAAATGGTGCTACGGTTGGAAATCAAACTTCACCTCTAATTTCAAATGATAAATCTTCTATATTGCCATTTTCAGAAAGTCATAAAATTTCAAATATTGAAACGCAAGTACAAGATTTTAACTTCCAATTGGAAAGAAAGCCCTTTGGATATACAAGACCAAATTTTGTTGAAAATCAACTTAGTAACCTTCGATGTGGACCCCTCTATGACTTGAGATTACCATCTAACCTTCTATCCTACAATTCATTTCTCTTTAATTCTACACAAACATCAAATTCACTCCCATTTAATCTACAAATGCCTGATTTTTCATTGCCCAATAGAATACCTCCTCCTGATGAATTTCATTTTAATGATCTCCAATAAACACCAAATGGTGCTTATAATTCTAGTAATAAGAAATCAAAAGCTTATTTACGAGATCAACAATAACCATCTCTTGACATAGGAAATAAAAACTTATTCAAGAGATGAACAATAACAATAAAAATTCAACAATGAAACATCTATTTCATTCTTCAGATATGTTATGGACAATTCTTCAGATATTGCACCTTCGAAAGAAGGTAAGAGTACTGAAATGCTAATAAAGAAAAAAAAGGAATGGAAGATGGAGAAAGGTTGAAACTAACATAGTCTCATTGTTTTTGGCTTTTAAAAATGTTTCACGGATTGATTTCTATGTTTTTATTGTTTTTAACTCATTTTTTGGTGATGAACTCATGTTGGAATAAAATCTACCCTTTTTTGTATGTCATTTATCTTTTCCATCAGAAAAACTATTCACTGATTTTGACCTTAGAAAATATTTTAATTGCGGTTAATAATTTTCACCATCTTAGAGAACATATTTTGTATCCATGGTGGTATTATTTGTAACCTATTGCATTAGAAAACGTAACGTATGAGGCGACAGATTCTGATAAAATTGACATTTTGGGTGATTCAAATTAAATTTTTTAAAGACTTTCATGGACATACCTACATATCATTCTTGGTAATTGATCAATGAAAATCACCATCTAAAGTTAAAATTTTAGAAAAGAATCTCGTAAAATTATTAAAGAAATTTTGATGTAAATCTTAATATTTCACGCTCGAAAAATCATAGTGGGCACCTACCCCCAATAGACAAACTGTCAAGTTGTTTAACTTCATTTTTATGATTTAAGTAGAAAAACAGAAATATTTCAAAGATAACTTATGATATAAATGTAGAAGTAACAAAATACATCTTTAAAACTTAGAAGTCGCATATACAGAAACCTCTAAAAATTTTATTAAAGTAGACAAAATTTGAACTAAGAGAAAGGAAGTAGGTACCGCAGACTAAGGTTTTAAAAGGTTGTGGCACGAGGCAAGGCGAGACTTAAGCTTTGAAACAGGGGTATAAATTTCATGAATCTATGAAGCGTAGTCTCATGTATTTTTAATTTTATTACTAAAAAAATAAGCAAACAAAAAAGTTTCAATTAACTATGCATATAACTTCAAATGAATTACCAATAATGTAGAATATATTGTCATATTAACTATTATCTGAGACAGGTAAAAACACAAAAAATTATAATATTTGAGATATAATGAAATTATCAACCATTTCATCATTAATCTCTATATATATCCGTCTTTGCACTGGTTATTGATTTCAAAGAAAGAAAAAAATAAAAAGTGTACCCAAAATGACATATATATATATATATATATATATATTGTCTAGTAAATAATTTCCCACGTATCCCGCAATTAATATCTTGCTATTCAATTGTTGAGTTTTTTATGATATATTTTTCGTCCAAGCATTGACTTATTATTAAAATACAATTTTTTTTTTAAAAAAAAAGTAGCCCTTGCTATTTTTAAAAATAAATAAATAATGGAATCAGTAGCTGACCCCATTATTCACATCTTCCCTTCCCATTTTCTTTTTAATTGTTAAAGTAGGTTTGGTATAAATGGAAATATTTTTTGCAAAATATTTTCTAGTTTTTTTATGTTTGATTGACTTAAATATATTTGATAATATTTTTCAAATTGATTTATTTCTCTCAAATTTATAAAAAGTATTTTCCTCCAAAAAGTAAGAAAAACATTTTTCAAAATTCTTTTTCGACCTCACACTTTGACTTTATATCCGATGTAAAGTCTCCCATACTGATTTTTAATATTAATTCGAGATCCAACTATTGATCCTCGATTTGAGATCTGACTCTTGATCTCAATTTGAGAACTAACTCTAGGGTCTCGAGTTGAATCAGGTCAGATTCCTGAAAGTCGAGAGGGGGGGGGGGAGGGGTTATATGGTATAGTCGCTCACCTGCAGATTGGTATAATAGTTTAAGGTAAAGATAAACACAGTAAATAAATTGTTATTTGTAGTTTTGATGATTTGACAAACTTAAGGACCTCATAAAGGTACCGGATTTTCTACTTGAGTATTGCAGGTGTCTTGTTTGAAGTATTGCAGATGAAACAAACTCAGGGACCTAGTAGAGGTACCAGGCTCTCATGATGATGAGCCAGTCGACTGCCAGCTGGAGACGGTACAGAAAGTAGGTGCACACTTCCCGATGGGGTCAGAAAAGTGTGACCTTTCCAGCCAATGGCAAAGAAGTTTAGGAAAGTGACTTGCCCATATAAAAGGCACTTTCCTAAACATTTGTTGTTGATTTTTTGCAACTTGATAAAAACTTTTCAAGAACTCTTGCAAAGACTACACAAAGCAAAGGCAGAATTATTCCAAGGACAACAGCAACATCTGCTTTTCGTCT